GAGGGGCCAAAGAAAGACTTCAGACTAAAAAAAATCCAATATTCTTCCTATTTTTCTTGGATCGGGCTTTAAGATTCGTCCGCACGGGGAGGGCGAACGTAAGCACGAAACTAGCACAAAAACACTGAGTTTGAGTCTCTTTTCTCTGCAGTTTCCGATGATCAGCGAATTCGGAGAGGACACCAACTCCTACTGCTCCTTTGAGAGCAAAGAGACGGCGCTGCTGCAGTCAGAAAATGGAAACCTGCAGCAGAGGGTCAACTGCCTGACCCACGAGGTAAAAACTCACCGAGGGGGGGGGGGGGTCCATAGGACAGACAGAGGAGGACAGATTAAAAACACAACCTAATATTCATTAATTTCCCTTTTATTCCTGAAACCCTTATCACACCGAGGGGTTTTCTAAGAGCTTAAATCCTGCGGAAATCCCTTTTTATGTGAGAATGAATTGAATTTGACGTGAAAAGAGGCCAAATGTGGTGGACAGAGATGTCCTGAACTAATTAAGAATGAAAAATATCTTTGGGGGAATGACTTTGTCTGGAGGTTTTGGAGAAACTTTCCAAGAATCAGAGCGACCTGTGACGCTTTTCCTTCCAGAGACGCGGCGTTAAAGCTGGGAAACTGTTTAATATTTGGAAAGAAACAGCATAAGAAGCTGAACAAAAGGAAACGGTAGATCTCTGAACAGAGCCAGAGAAGGAGACGGTGCTTTAGAGGAGCAGCAGAGATGGTTAGCGTGGGACTCCGGAGGCCAGGGGACTCTGACACTTGGCATTCAGAGTGACGACCACATGATCACTGAGCATGCTCAGTGGGGGGGGGGGCGCTCCCCTTTGGCCCTGGTCTTAAAGGGAAGCGGTGACTCATGAGGAGAGGCAGATCAGAGCTAAACAGAACAGTTCAGTTTGCATCCTCACACATTAATCCCCCAATTTTTGTGGAGAATATAAGATTCTCTTGCTGTCCTACTCTTCAACATCCACTTAGCCCGGGTAAAAAAAGGCCTGGACCTGGGAACTTTTAGCCAGAGAAAGCAAAAGGGGAACTTTCTGCTCTTATGGCAAGTTAAGCTAATTTTTCCTTTAATTTTTATCAGATTTTTTATCCAATTTGCTTTTGCTAAAAGTTCAATTTAGTGAAAAGGCAAGGAACTAGACACGGGATAAGTCCCCTTCAATATGTACAGATTGGGTTAAAAGACAAAAAAGAGCATCTAAACTAACGCTAAACATAACAAAGAAAACATATATTCTACAATGGGAGGAGTTCAAGTAAGAGATAATTGGTGGTAGGAGGGAAAAACCTGATACTAAAACAGTGTTCTTGGATCATAAGCTGAATTTTCCCCTTAATATCTATTGATAAAAGTTGTATTTAGACTATGATATTCATATATGAACCTTTCCTCATTTAGCTCTGTAATTACATAATTGTGCAGTTTATTTTTAATGTCCATTTGTTAATCGTTCTTATTTATCTCCGGGTCTTGTTCCCATCCACTTCTTTGGAACTGTTAGTAATTTTGTAATATCAGTAAATATTAAACCCGCCTACATCTTAACTGAAGGATTAGCATTTTTTAAGCCGGCCTCTTCAGGCGTCTTCTCACTGAGATGGAGCTCAGGAACAATCCTGCTGTCCTCCTTCAGAGGGCTTCAGAACCACTCCACGCCTGGCAGACGTTTTTTTTTTACCGGCATATGTTTCCATAGACACGACGAACGGGCCTCTGAGCTCCTGCTTCTTTGTCCTCGCCAACTCTGTTTTTTCTCACTTTTGCCGCTGCTCCCACACTCGTTTTTCTGATTAAAAAGCTAGCCAGCCTCCTCTGAGCTTCTCGTTTTACTCAAATAACGATAGCGATCCACCTTTTTCTTATTTTCCTTCGATTTTAAGATGGAGGGGGAGCAGCCAGATGAGGTTTCAGGATTTCAGCGTCCTAAATTTGCTCGGTTACACAACGTCTTCATAAGGGACGCGTTTGACGACTCGCACAATGGAAGCTTTGGTGTTTCTCTGCTTTGTGGGGAAGTTTGACGACTGACAAAAAAAGGGGGGGAGGAATAAAGCAAAACATAAAGACGTGTCAAGCCTTTGTGTGTTTGAGCGTGTTTCTCTGTGTTCAGCTCCAGAAGAGGAAGGACAGGGAGGAGCAGCTGGAGGACGTGATCAAAGCCTACGAGAAGATCCACATGGAGAAGAGCAACCTCCAGAGGGATCTGGACAAGATGGTCAGGACTCCACGTTTGTCACTTTAGCCACAAGGGCCGGGAATTATTTCTCACCATTAAACGCTCTGTGAATGTTGATCAAAGGCAAAAAAGTGGGACTTTTGCACAGTGAATGGAAAACGAAAAGAAGCTCTCCGCACATGTTGGAGAGTTCAGTGATTTCTTCCCGATTTCAAAGACTCGAAAGGCTCAGTGTCGATAAAGTTTGAGCCTCCGGAGCTTTTCAATGTTATATTGAAACTTAAAGACATTTTAAATGCAGAAGCAGTCTAATCTGTGTCTGAACACCAGAGAAAGGACCCACAAAATTCTTCTGTATTCTTAAAAAAACTGTAGGCATTTCCAGAGTAATTCATTTCATGCAGTTTAAACGTGTTCGCACTAGGATTTGTAAAAAAAAACGGGCCAAATGAGACAATTTGTGGAGGATATTTTCTACAAAAATCGTAAATTATGCTACTCTTAGAAGGGCAGAACGAGTTCAAACCTGCTCTGTTACTAAAAATGATCATTCATAGTTAAATTATCCCTCACTATGTCCTAAAATAATCTGCAGACGTCTTTTTTAAGTCCAGAAGATGGAGACCTTTCTTTTGCTGAGCGTTTTGCACAGAGGAGTCAAAAGTAACGGGACACAGTTTTATTTCACCCCAGCAGGTAATGGCTGACGGGGGCCTTCTTCTAGGTTCTGGACGCCATCTTGAAAGCCGCCATACTAGATCAAGGGAGGGTTCGTCCAATGGGAAGGAGGTCATGTAAAACATGATACGGCCAGAATTGGACCAGCTTCCCTTTGGAAAAACCCTTGAACCATAAATAAGGCGGCCATGTTGCAGACACAGCCTGAAAGACCCCCCCCCCCATCCATTAGCTGCTGGGGAGTTTAGATATGTCGTTTTTCCTGTAGTTTCTGACACAAAACTGCGTCCCGTTACTTTTGACTCACCCTGTATGTGACGGCGTTTCAGAGTGGGTTCAAATCTCTCTCTCTCTCACATAACTATAAAATCAAATAGACAGAAAAGTCCCGAACAAACAGGAGAAACACAAATAAACGTCTCGTCCGGCTGTCACTCGCATCCTTCCTGTGTTTCCCGGTCGGTCAAATCGATAGAAGCCACAAAAAGACGCCAGTCTGGAGGATTTCCAGTTTCCATAAAGCCGAGAGTCGATGTTGAGATGATCATTTAAGGCTGCGGACTGGAACAGAGCGCCTAACAGAGCAGTGAATCACACCAGTGAGCTGTTTTTGTGTCACCAAGAGACACGATTATGAGTAAATACTCAGACTCGAGGCCCGAATGGTTTAACGAGCCTCATAATGGGCTTTACGACCCGTCTGAAGACACACTTTGCAGCGTAACGCACAGATGAGCTGACCTGTGCTTTGCACTTGTTATATTTCCATTATTCTCTGGCCGGACGATCAATCCCTGATTTGCAGACATCACAAATTCAAACTGAGCCACAGCAAACATTGATCTGTGGACAACAACAGGGCGACATTTCGAGCTCCGTCTCAGCTCTATTAGACAG